CAACATGAATTATTAAGTAGACCAATAGTGAGCGCGAAATGCTCACATTCTTAGGGTGAACCAGGATCCTGTAGAACGAACAAGCTCTGTGATACCTCCTACTCCGACAGCTGTTAGTAATTTGTAAATGCGTGTCTGGGGTTTCCATAATTTCGTTATGAATTTGCGGACCATTAAAATACAGGACAGCCTTAGATTATTCGGGCACACTCAGCATTGCGAATCTCACGGCTTCTGACTTGGGAATAAACAGGCACTCAATTTTGAACCATTACCCTCGATCAGAAACGGTAAAAAGTAACATTTCAGAGAGTTCCAGATAAACGCTCCAGGAACCTCTCCTGTAGCACGCACGTACACATAGAGGGCTTACTTTTCAAATTTTTCGCGTTTCTCTGGACTTCAAAACAAATGTTCACAATGCGCACGTGCACGTGTTCCTTATTAGGCCGGCACGGCTATGCTGTGCTAACGTTTACTAATAAACCGACTCCCTACTCTGACCTACGTTTACGTTTAGTCGTGCCTATCAAGGACGTCGCCGGTGTGTGCTGTTTATCTAAACGCCAGCAGAGACATTCAAGAGCTTTCGACTCGTCTTAGTGCTAAGCCTGTCACATGCAGGCATTCCGGTTCGTACTGACACACTTTTGTCTATCTTTAACTGTTTACTATTTTCTACGAACGCTGTTCAAATTTAGACGCCGGGCAACAAGTTGTTATTTTTAAAGAATTTACTGAATGAAAAGTCAGTTGTAAAGCAGTTTGTAGTAGCCATGCAAATGTGAACATATATCTAGAAGGATATTTACTCTGAAATGAATCTTACAATTTCTCACCATAATGTGTTCTCCTACGGAAGAGAAACTAATCTGCATATGAACAGTCGACGCGCATTCTCTTTCTCTTTCCACCGCCTGCGGAAAAATAAATACTAGTTACTAAAGTTATTTAGTTTTTTCGTCAAATTCTTTGACATTTCTTCATAGAACTGAAGTAAAATTGGGGCTCTCGAAGTGCTTAATAAGAATTAGCGTAATGAAAGGAGCATGCAACAAAATATTGCATATGTGACGAAAAAAATAGATATTTGCTGAGGGGCAAACAGTTTTTTTTCGATATTTTGAACATATCAGCAGAATTTATCGCATATACATATAAACGACCACGAAGCGTTTCTTCCTCCTCCTCTAATTCAAGAATGTCATCAATTTGTAACTCCTGTGTCTGCCTAGAAACTATATACCCGAAGCTAAATGACAGCGCGAATTATTACCTAGACCGACGGTGAACGCAAAACTGCCAAGTCCGTGGTGTGAACTAGGAACTTGCAGGTTAATAGAATGTACATGCTCCGTGATATCTCTTTCTACGATAGCCGTCAGCCATTTTTTAACACTTATGTAGGATTTCCATTATTAAGTTGAGAGGCGCGTATTTGAGCACGTTCAGCTCTCTGACTCTCATGGTTTGTGCTTACGTACTAAACAGCTACTAATCGTAAGAAATTAACTATTTATTGCAAACGGTTAGGGTAAATCTTTTCTGACTTCTACAGATATTTTGACCAGGATATTTTCTTACATTTTCACCAACAAATATTTACTTTTTTATCGAAGGATGCTCCTATGTGGCCTTTAGACCGCTGGTTGTTATTTTTAAAGCATTCACCGAAGCGGAAGCCATTACTAATGCAGTTTCGAATGCTCCGTAAATGTGCACCAGAAAGATGTTACCTCTAAGTGATATTTGCGGTTTCCCACATTCAGTGTCACCATAACTGTATTTCGAGCGGCAGAGCAATTAATCTGAATGTGAATAGTCGACGCCCCTACTCTTTAACTTTCGCTTTCCACCGCTTGTGGATGTATAAAAAGCTGGTTGCTAAAATTATTTAGTCGTTTTACCAAATTATTTGATTTTGCCTCATAGAACTGAAACACAAATTGGTATTTTTTTAAGTGTTTAATGGAAAAAGCAGTGCAAACTGTAGGATTGATGAAATAAAAGTGTGTTTGCTATATCCAACTGTTGGTATTGCAAACATCCTTATCTGTATCACACCGCCTGGTATGTAAACTGAAATTCTAGAATGTGTTGTAGATTTGAACAAATCCCGATTATCTTACAGCTTAAAATTAAGATATTTCAGTCACGTCAGGCTGCCGGCTTTTGCGCCGATTGCCCGTAAAAAGTATCTACCGTAAAAATACCTACTTAAGTAGTAACCATGCCTTTATTGATTTTCACAGTCCTAATAATTTTAAATACATTTTATGCATGACATGCTCAAAATTATTCTCTCTTGTTCTCACCTCATAGAAAATAATTTCTGCTTTGCATTCTACACTTAAATAAGAGGTAGCATTCGGTTTCAAAATAGTTTCTTAAATGCCGAATAATGGTGAAACCCACCGGCCGTTACACTCTCATTCAAGTTTTTCGAACTGCGTGCTGTTTACATTCGCTCTACGGAAAAGTACGTACTTCTCTATGATGTGCGGAAGAGGCTACATAGTTAACTAACAACTTTGCAATGGATCTGGCTAACTTTCAACACTTCATTAGCAGCATTAATAGATAAATGGATATGATATATTATTAAGGAACATTTGACGATCGTAAAAAATCTCATAATTAAAAATATTTTTTTAACTGAAAGGCACCCTTTCTTCAAGTAAAAAATTCAGAGAAGACGTAGGCTGCTAGCAGAGAAGTGGCGTTTTGTCATATTTTCTTTAAACTTTATTTGAATTTATAAGAGCAGTGAAAATGGAGGAGAATAATGCATACTTAGTAAGCACAGTAGGTGACATATCTGATGCAAGGTTGAGGATTGGGGGATTTAACACAAACTTGAGGTCGTTTATTAAGTTCATTGGGTTGGCCTAAGGCGCAAAATGCTGCTTATTAGAATTGAATTCCATTCAGAGCAGTATACTTGGAGAAAAGTTAGGCGGAAATGGGCGAAATCCAACGTTTGTTGATATCCAAGGAATTTCCTATGCTATTAAGAGCTGCGGAGAAAAGATTCATATTTATGCGTGCTGAAGTATAAAAAAACATTTACAAAGAGCAGAAAATGTTTAATTATATTTGTTCACAACAGAGAAAATTTTCTTTTGCGTCCATGAAATTGAGGTTCGTGTACTTACGAGATACACTAAGGTCGTGAATAGTTTGATGAATTTAGCTAAGAAATGTTTGCTCTACAAATACATTACGATTTGTGCCCTAAAGATAAGAAATAAACTTACAAGAAAAAAAATGTGTTTTACTACGCCGAAATTAGTAG